ACCCACTGCTCGAAACCCCCTGGAAGAGCTAATATTCGCAGAAATGCGCGTCGGGACACTTTAGGGCAGTGGGTGGCATTTTTTTGATAAGGGATGATGCTGCAGCTTCAATATAACTTATTTCTCTAGATCAGCCACCACGCTTTGCTTTTAAGTAGCTATATCGATCCAGTTACAATGTTTTACCAGCTAGTATTGGTCAGTGATATCTATTCACTAGTTAGTAACGGCTAGCTATTTAGGTGAAAGATACGGGTCTGGCTCTCTTTTTCAATTTCGTTATTGGGCTTTGAGGATTGGAGACTTTGGGAGTTTGGATTTTTCAAGTAAGAGTGCACATGTAGGCACTTCAGTGGATTTTTCATGTTTACAGATAACTGGTGTATACCCCCTCCCTGTTCCCAGGTACTATTTTCGAATTCTTTAGCCAACACCCCTCCCCTTATTATCACTAATAGCTATGATACTTTTTTAATACACTTGTTTTAACATTTGTTAATTAAAGGTTATGTTTTATTTATTCTATTATCTATTCATGGGTTGCATTTGCATTTTCAAGGTTTAGGTTGTGAGGTATGAGCCACTGTCTACCTCAGATCCTTTCTTTGCCTTCACGCTCTTCTTTATTGATATTAGAATCCACTTATATTAACGTGATTTTCTCTTGAGCAGGTGATGATTCTTAAAGAGGTCTGCAGACCAGCCTCATTGACTCCCTAACCCAAGGAATGGATTCAATTCACAAAGGTGTCTTCTCCTCCCACAATGGAAGCCAGCCAAGTGAAACGATTCCTGAAGGAGATTCTGTTAGTACTTCTACAAGTGAAAGTATTTACATGGAACAGGCTGACAGTGTTCAGAATGCTGTAACTACCCAGAAGCCACTCAAACCTAAAAAATGTGACAGGACATTGTCCACAAAATCTGGTCATGGGAGTCAGCAGAGGGCACATGAAGACGAGAAGCTTTATATTTGCTGTGACTGCGGGAAGACGTTTAGTAATTGGATGGGATATAATCTGCACCAGCGCACACCAGATGGATGCAAACTATTTTCCTGTATTGAGTGCGATAAAAAATTTACATGCAAATCCCACCTTGAAAGGCATCAACGAACTCACACTGGGGAAAAGCCATACCGCTGCACTGAATGCAACAAGAGCTTTGGTCAGAGTTCACACTTGGTCAGGCACGTGAGGATCCACACTGGTGATAAACCGTATCTTTGCACAGAGTGCGGTACAACGTTCACTCACAGTGCGCAACTCTGGAGTCACAAAACCGTGCACACGGGAGAAAAACTCTACAAGTGTCTTGAGTGTGGGAGAGGGTTCAGTAAGAGTTCCCACCTTATCTCTCACAAAAGGATTCACACGGGGGAAAAACCATATATCTGCCCAGACTGTGGCAAATGCTTCATCAACAACTCAAATTTAACCTTACATCGGAGAACCCACACAGGTGACAAGCCTTACTCATGTAGTGACTGTGGCAGAAAGTTCAGCGATAAGTCCAGTTGTGTCCGCCACAGGAGAAGGCACACTGGGGAGAGGCCCTACACGTGTAATGTTTGTGACAGACGTTTTAGCAATAGCTCAAGCTGTAGAAGACACAAAGGCAGGAAGCACTCTTCTTGAGCATCCATGTTAATTTGGTCTAGTTGAATAAAGCCTATTATAATTGTCTTTTAAACAGTGCAACATAGTTGCTAAATTTGCTATATATTCCTGAAGACCCATCACTTTATCCATGCTGATGGGAGGCACATGATAATTGTATATCCTCCAGCTTGTAGAATTCATGTGATGTATGAAGTGAGGAAACCAACTAATTAAGGCACACATTTCTTTTGAAACTCATCCTTGATAAATTGGTGGAATTTTTTTTTTTTTATATATATATTTTTTTTTTCCCTGTTGCAGCTCATGAATTCTTTATACTATAGGTTAGCATGTCTCGTGTACAGTCTGTAATTGTGAATAAGGTAAAGTAATCTAGAAAACCTACTGTGCAATCTATAAAATATTTTGAGAAGCCTTGTTTTCTTAGTGGTCTGACTAATATTAACCCCTTCCCGACGCAAGATGGATATTTTCCGTCATGCTTGTCCTATCGGTAAGGACGCATGGTGGAAAATTTCCGTCATTTACTGAAGTTAACACCAGATCGCTGTGAGTGTGAGGCTAATGCTCCTCCGGTTTGCCTCTGTGTTTGAGGCAGACCAGGAGCACCCGATGGCGCTGTCCCTGCAGCTGTGATCACTCTGACAGGATGTCAGAGCGAGCACATGTGCTGCAGGGACTCCTAACTCGCCTCTCTGCGTTTCATCGTTCAGTGTGAAGTGCAGGAAGACGGATCCGCAGTGATCTGCTTCTTCCTATGTAAAAAAAATAATTTATTATAGCTAAATCCCACCCCCCCTTTGCCCATTTAAAATAAAAATTAACCCCTTCCCTGCCAAATGATCACTGACTACAGTGATCAATTGGCAAGGACTACATTTTACTGTGATCTGTGTTTTTTTTTTTTTTTTAACCCTCAGGAGTTACATTTAATTAATTTAAATATTTGAAAAATTAGCTGGGGTGATGCGAAATTATTGGGGAATTTGATGTTAGGCTAGCTAGGGGTTAACAGTAAACGTTTTTAAAAAGTTAAGAATAGTGATATCCCGAACGGTTCGCTGCGGACCGCAAACATAAACTTTGACCCTGTACCTCACAGTCAGCAGACACATTCCAGCCAATCAGCAGCAGACCCTCCCACCTCCTGGACAGCATCCGTTTTACATTCATTGTGCAGCTGCATTCTTAGTGAGCTGTCCAGGAGGTGGGATGGTCTGGGATGGAGGGTCTGCTGCTGATTGGCTGGAATGTGTCTGCTGACTGTGAGGTACAGGGTCAAAGTTTATGTTTATGTTCGCCGTCCGCAACGAACCGTTCGGGAGATCACTAGTTAAGAAATATCCCACCCCCCCCTTTACCCAGTCTTAATAAACTTATCCCCTTCCCTGCCTGCAATGATCAAAATAGAAATCACAGTATTATACTGTGATCAACCTTTTTTTTTTTTTTTAAATCCCTCAGGGGTTGAATCTATTTAATTTAAAATTATAGATTTATCTAGCTGTGGTGGGTGGGGAAATAGAGGAATTGTTAGGGGTTAATGGTAAAAAAGTTTATAATTTTAAAAGTGTAAAAAAAGTTTAAATAAAGAATAAAAAGTTTAAAAAAATGTAATAAGAAAAAAAGTTTAAAGATTTAACAAAATCCATAAAAAAAAAAAAATGCTCATTAGCACTACACCTGGAACAAACTAGTGAAAAAATTATTCCACACTAAGGTTCAAAATATGCCTGTTGAAATACCCCATGGTGTATTATTTAAAAAAAAAAAAATGGTATGCGTTTGTGGGGCAGTTTAAATAACCAATCAGCTAAGCTACTCCAAAATAGAACATGGACACAGCTTAAAAATTAAAAGTTTGAAAAAACTGAATTGCTGTGTCTCAAATGTTCCCCTTCAACATCCACATCTACCTACCAAAGGTACATACGGGGTTATTCCTGTACTCAAATGACATAGCTGAGCAACTTATAAAGTGTTATACTGACATAGCACATATAGGGTTTGCGAAATATACAGTAAAAGCTCACTGTGTGGGTCAAAAAGGCAGAAAAAAATGCTTATTGCCTCTACACTTGGTACAAAATAGCAAAAAACTATCCCACGATACTGTTCAAAATATGCCTTTTAAATTACCCCGGGATGTATTCTTTAAGAAATGGTATGCCTTTATGGTGTAGTTGGAATGAGACAGGGACACAGCAGAAAAATTCAAAGTTTAACCCTTTAAGGACACATGACTGAAATATTCCGTCATGATTCCCCTTTATTTCTTAAGCTGTGTCCTTAAGGGGTTAAAAAAAAAAAAAAAAAAACTAGAAAGGATGTGCCCCTTCAGTGCTCACATCTACCTGGCAAAGGTACATATAGGGGTATTCCTGTACTCAGACGACATGGCTAAGCAACATATGAAGTAGTATACAGTCGTAGCACGCATAAGGTTTCCATAATATACTGTGAAAACTCACTTTGTGTGTCAAAAATGCAGAAAAAACATTTATTACCACTACACTTGGTACAAGCTAGCGGAAAAATGATCCCACGCCAAGGTTCAAAATATGCATTTTGAAATACTCTGGGATGTCTTCTTTAAGAAATGGTATGGCTTTATGGGGTATTTGGAATATGTTGCCTACTAAAGTGCTCCAAAATGGAACACAGACCCATCAACACCATCAATGAAAATTCACATTTAAAACCTAAACTTGTCATGTCTCTTTTACAGCAGTGTAACTTCACAAAACAGTGTCTAGGTCATACATTGGGCATATTGTTTTACTCAGAAGATGTATCGGAGCATAATTTGGGGGATTTTATGACAGTGGTACATATCAAGTGTAAGAAATACTCTGCAAAACTGCAACATGTATGTAAAAAGTTTCATTTTTTTTTTCTCACCACAAACATTGACATACATTGGTGAAAAAATAGTGACAGATTAAGGCACAATATACGCCATATAAGATATTCTGGGGTGTCTACTTTCTCAAATGGAAGCCCTCTGTGGTGTTATTTAAATAGTCAACTATAATACCCCAAAATGAGACACATGCCCATCATATCTATCTATGAAAATTCTAACTATAGATACTGAAATAGTTTTGTCTCTTATATGACATTGCAGCTTCACAGCATAGTACCAAAGGCATAAAATGGGGGTATCGTTATACTCAGCAGATGTAGCTGAACACTATGGGGTTCTGTATATGAATAGCACACACCAGTTTTACGAAATACAAATTACAAAAACCTTGTTATATGTGTATGTACCAAAATAGAGAAAAAACACAATATTACTCCAATATTTAGCAGAGATTGGCGATGAAATGGCTACGTAAAAAATGTCAAAATAACCTTAGGTAAATAGCCCGTGATGTCTACTTCTATATATACACGTTTGTGTGGCAATTTTGTTTTGTGTGATGGCTACTAAACTTACAAGACAAACATACCAACTTCTAACATTGTTTGACATTGAAATGTTATTTTAGTCCTTGTATTTTGTGACCTGTAGCTTTCAAAATAAGTTCAAATCCTACACATATTATTTACTCTATAAATCAAGACACATAAATGAATTTATTTTTAATTACTTTCCCTGAACTGGACACATTATGCACACGTTATTATTGCCAAAGATGTGAAAAATAAATTTGGGGTTTTTGTTTCCTATTCTTTTAAAATAATTAATGAGAATTTATATATGTATATGTGACATCAAATTAAAGCCCGATTTGTCCTCTTAAAAAAAGTTATATAATATGTGTTGGTGCAATAAATGAGAGAGATGCAAATTGCGGTTGAACACAAACAGCAAAAAATGCAAAAATGGCTTCTGTCCTTAAGGTGTATAGGTACAAATATTAGGGTCAATCCATAGTGCAACTGCGTAAAGTACTAATATAATAGTGATATGTGCCAATGGGTCACTCACACTTTCACTGTTAAAACAGGGCGTATCAGAAATCAATGTAGCTTTCAGGCAGTTCTCTGCTTACGTCTGGTCTTCCAGATCTCAATTACATGGAAAATAATGGTACATTCATTTGTGTACCTGTCTCACTGCTGCTAAGTCCCTGTTGTGGGAGGAAACGCGTTGGACAGATTTTTACTTGTTTTTATGTCGATTGATCCTTACCTATGTGTAAGTAATAAATGCTTTTTATACTTTATGCACATCTTTCTATATTTCATTCTGGATGCATTTTATTTTCCATGTAATTGGAAGCAGAGAACAGCCTGAAAGCTCCATTAATTTCTGATACGCCCTGTTTTAACAGTGAAAGTGTGAGTGACCCATTGGCACATATCACTATTATATTAGTATTTTACGGAGTTGCACTATGTTATTTTTTTTATCTCCCTATAGTTGGATTGACCCTAATATTTGTATCTACATATCTGTGGAAGATTTGAGGAGATCTTTGGGTCTAAATCCATAACTTAGAGGGAAGTTCCTTTTCTGTGTATATCTTTTGTATCAAACATTTGGTGTCAAACTAAATACTGAAAAATGATATTGGTGGAAATGATAATATGACCAAGTGATACAGTGAAAGAATTTGCACTTTTACCTTCCATTTGTATTTTTTTTTTTGTTGCATACGGTAAGCTGTAAAATATCACCTCACCTTTTGTTTATTGGTACTTTTTAAAGGAAACTAAGAGAGATTTCTATCAGCCTTTTCTTCTGTGAAGGTGAGAGACATTGTGGAGCTGGTATCTCAATCAATGAGTTGTAGTGGATTGACAATGGCCAACCCAAGGAGACCTGGCTAATTTAGTACATTGAACAATTCCATCCACAATTTCTGTGTTAGTGGTGCTGATTGGGATTTCTTCATGTTAACGGGTTTTTGAGGGCGTTTCAGTTACCACAACAATTACTCAAAGATGGTTACATTTGCTCTTTCTGTATCGTTCCTGTGTTTGGGAACACACTGAGAGGCGGTGTCAGCTGATGCTTCCAGCCATCTAGGCGCCTGCTAGTGCTGGGGCCAAAAAGGACACAAAGTGGCCAAGCACAATGAAAACAACTCTTTGGTTAAACTATTATAGGCAAAATAAGAGCAGGAAATGACCAGCCTTGAAGGATTTCTTCAGATCTTACGTTTGAGCTACACTGTCAACCACACTTATCTGCTTAGTCAGTAGACCCAAGTATTCTGGGCCTGTAGGTTAGCTGTTGCACTCTGTAAAACAGCATTTCCTTTTTGTGATAACACCGACACAAAAGGTTTCTAACTAGCTGTTTAAAACTTTGCAGAAATTAGATTTGTATTAGTCACTAGCCTATGCAAAGAGTTACCTTTCTGTCCCTCCCACCTAGAAATCTGTCAAACCCACACCTTGGTTTCTAAACAAAAGCTGACTAGTAGACATCAAAAGACTGAAGGGCTTCGACCTAAGAAAGCTGTTAGCGAAAAAGCACAATTTCCTTAAAGGAACATCAACACAACTTAAGAGCATTTTATAGATGATGATCCCATATTAATACAGCCTTTTGCCCTATTCAGCAGTTTAAATACACCCCTTTGCCACCTTATACACAAAATATTTTCACAATTACTGTTCTCTTATTTGTATAATATATATTAAAATCAGAGATTATAATATGGAAACAAATCTCAAATGCACTTAAATCATGTTAAACTGTTCCTGCACTTCTTGATACAACTGTGTAAATGGAAAACTGGGAAGTGAGGTCACCCCCGAAACATGCATTTCTCAACGGTGCTGCTGTAAAGACCAAAATAAAAGCAAAATACAGAATAAGGAACACAGAAATCCAGTTTAAATTTGACAAGGCTACTAAAAATCACATATCAAACAAGTATGGGGATTCAATTCTACCTTAAAGCCCACTACTGATTCACAGTACCCCAGTATCGGTGGGTCCTACACTAAATTTAACATGCTGACTGCAATACATACTGCTTACAGAGACTTTCCTCAATTTATGCTTTCCTCTGGTCACCTCCAAAGGGGTGGGGTGCTCAGCCCAGTAGGAATCTGGTCTGGATTCCAACTATACACAGAAGAAAGGCAATAGTGGGAACTGTGTTATAGAGATGGAAATTGTGGATATATGGAGCTGTGACAGTAACCAGCCAGAACAAAGTATTTTAGAATGGGGGAGGTAGTAACTGTTCAGAATTGGTTATGCAAAAAAACAAACGCTGCTGTTAAGGGAGGAGTAAAGGCAGAGCCTGACCCAGCACCGAGGAACATCAGCTTTGGATTAAGGTATTCAAATGAAAGGTTTCTGCACTGCGCTGGAAGCAGGGGGACTGAGTGAGGGGGTGACTACAGTGTACTATAGTGCTAGGAATACAATTACTGGCGCCCAGTGAACAGTTGATTTCTTACATGTGGGTGGTGTCAGGATACTACTGCATGCTGTAGTGGTTATGGTGTATCGAGTGTAGTTTAAAATGTGTACATATTTAAATGTCATTTTAATTTTTGTACTGGCTCCGCTATTGTGAGAGCATTGCAGCCTGCCTGCTGGTCATTTCTTTTCAAATAGGTTTTATTGAAATTTTAAAGTTTCATAACAAAAATAATAATAAAAAATAATAACATATTTAGAACGATGAATGACAATTAAATACCATATGATTCTTTAACATTCTTTTCCCATTGATCCCAACTAAATTGAAGTTGTACAAATAAACTAGAACTTTGTCTATATGGCATTTCATGCATTTTGTTTTACAAAACCAAATTTGCCAATCCTTTGAGTGTGGGGGTATTAGGTGATTTCCAGTAATGTGGTGAGCAAGATGTAGCAGCAATTAAAATGTGGCCTATGATAATTTTATCTATTTTGGATATTGCCCTTGGGAATCGTTTAAATAATGCTAATTCTGATGTTAGAGTACTGATGGATGAGTCCACTTTCATAATTAATCTATTAATTATTTTCCAGTATTCAGTCAATTTAGGGCAAAACCACCAAACATGAGTCATGTTACCCACACCTCCGCAGTCTCTCCAAGATACCATCGATATAGGATCTTATAGTGATTCTCAAAATGGTTTGTGCAATACGTAATACCTTTAAGAGCTGTAAAAAATTTTTAACCACTCATCAAGACTACATTGCGTGCCCAGCTCCTTCTCCCATGACAACATGTGTCCTAGTTTACAAGAGGGTTCGGTGTTATATAATGAATAACATAAAGACAGTAGCCCTTTACGTCCCGGGTCCTGTAAAAATATATTTTCTAGTTTAGAACATTCCAAAGGCCTGCTGGTGATTTCTGATAAGCAGACCTACATTTATTAGAGCGTTCTTTTACGGCACCTACAACCTCATTGTGCGGGGAGCGATGATTTCCAATTGACCAAAATGTCGTCACATCTGTGCTGTTGTGTTCTGAAGATCGACAAATAAAGCAGACTGCTCTGAATAGAAGACCACAGCCAAAATAATCAAACTGCAAATAAGAGGAGTTGCTGACATTTTTCCAACTCAGCAATATAAACGTTCTGCAGACGCTTTCATTTCTCTAGAACTTGCAGTTTATTGAATAGACCCGTTAATCTCCATCTACATCGCATTTCTTGTAAAGTGTATTTTTCCTTTGGATTAGCATCAATGCTTGTAAGATCTGCACCAATGCTTTTTATCGATTTGGTTCTACAGCAAAATCTCAGATATTCTAATCATTATTAAAAATTACAGACTGTAATGCAGGCAGATGATTTTTTTCTTCTTTAAAGGAACACTGTAGCATTGGGGATACATATCTTCAAAGAACAAAATAAAACTGAAATAAATGAAAAATAAAACCAATTACTCAGCCTTTGTCAGCGCTGAGTCTCCCCCAGAGCTGCCCCATCCTCTTCCTTCAGTGATGTCTGACAGGCCAATTGAATGCTCTTTGCCTAAGGTACCCAAAATCATTGGGTACCTTAGGCGCATGGGCATTGAATACAATGATTATCTATGGCTGACCACCACGTAACTCATGACGTCATGGTATGAGAACCAGGAAGAAAGATTCCTGGCTCTCATATCCAGAGGACTTGGAGGCGTGACTTGAGGCTGCGCTTTTTAGCCCTCTAATTGGTTACTTAGAGGGCTTTGGGGGGTAGGTGAGAGAGACGGAACTGCGCTGCAGCCACTATGATAATTTCATTAATATAGAGTTGTCAAAGTGCCTCCAGTGTTCCTTTAACTTTCCTGTGTTTTAGTACTTTGTCCAAAAAGTTTTTAGCACTGGACGAGGGTGACATCTAGTGGCCACTCGAGAGACCAATAGTTTCTCTGCTCTTCTAATTATAGTGAATTTTACAGAAAGCAACTGTGGGGTCAGTAATGAAACACCGTATTTTGTCCAGATGGATAACATTTGTTGAAAATGATCGATTTCCAACTGAAATGGCAATTCTCATATTTACTGAAGCCAAATAGTCGACCCCAGTCAATCTGCAATAATTGCCCAGATGTGTTCTGTGTCCGTATTAAAAGTTGTTCTTTAGCATTCAATTCCTGTACGACATATAGGATTTGGAGAATTCACAAAGCACCAGTTTTAAATTGAATAGGGACAGAATGTATCCAACACGATGCACATTCGCAAATTATTCTTCAAGTGCTTTCATGTGAGCAGCCAATAAATCTAAGTACAATTTGCCCGGTGGAAGTGCTAGAAAGGCCCCATTTCGTTTGTGGGCATCGGGTGTGGACAAATACCCCCCAAGACTCTGCACCCAACTACTACACAATGAATCTGAATCCCGAATACCCCCCAGACTCAGAGTTGAAGTGGTTGCCATTCGACAGTCAAACACGTGGCGGCGGCCATCTTAAGCCGCGAGCACCATGAGCGATGTTTGGTTGTCGAGTACATGGAACTCAAGTCCAGCACTCGACGGCGCGAACACCGCTAAACATTCACCTTCTATGGATGTTCGACTATTCGAATGGCTTTCAGTGAAAATAAACTCCCGAACGAGGGACATAACCTAAGACTACTTCCGAAGCTGTACGTTCAATAATTTGTGTTTTACTTCGAATTTCCCAAAGTAGAGCGACCGCACAGCCTAATTCTCGAACTGTTTTGGGCGTGGGACCATGCGTGCAGTCAGGGATGGACTGACAGCCTCCTGGGCCCCCGGAAAAAATTAGATCCAGGGCCCTTCGAAGACAAAATATTAAAGGAGCACTATAGTGCTAGGAAAACAAACTCGTTTTTCTGGCACTATAGGGTCATTATGTCCCCCCCCCCACCCTCAGGGCCCCCCTCCTGCTGGGCTGAAGGGGTTAAAACCCCTTCAGCCACTTACCTTTCTCCTGCGCCGGGTTCCCTCGGCTCTGGGGAATTCTCGCATTCTCGAATTCTGCGCACGCATTCAAACCGCCCATAGGAAAGCATTACTCAATGCTTTCCTATGGACGTCCAGCTTGTGTTCTCACTGTGATTTTCACAGTGAGAATCGCGGAAGCACCTCTAGCGGCTGTCAGTGAGACAGCCACTAGAATCTGGATTAACCCTTAGTGAAACATAGCAGTTTCTCTGAAACTGCTATGTTTTCAGATGCAGGGTTAAAACTAGAGGGACCTGGCACCCAGACCACTTCATTTTAAAGTAAGTAGTCAAACCGTTTGAGAACAGTTTGACAACTTACCTAGGGTCTGCTGTGATATGAGACTGTAGTAAGGCATAGGAGCAGTAGTGTGTGTGAAAGGTTCAGTGTGTGTGTGGGGGGGATGTAGTGAGTGAATGTGTAGGGTGTGTGGGGGCAATGTGTGTGTGTATGTGGGGCTGTGTATGTGTGTGTTGGCAGTGTATGTGTGTGTGGGGCAATGTGTGAATGTGTATGGTGTCGGGGCAGTGTATGTGTGTGTGGGGCAATGTGTGTACGGGGAGGGCAGTGTGTGCATGGTGTGCGTGGGGGCAGTGTAAGTGTGGGGGCAGTGTGTGTGTATGTGTACGGTGTGTGTGTGTGTGTGTCGGGGCAGTGTGTGTATGGGGGGCACTGTATTTATGTGTGGGGCAATGTGTGTGTGTATATATGTGTGGGCAGTGTATGCAGTGTGTGTATATATATGAGTGGGCAGTGTGTGTATATATATATATATATATATGGGTGGGCAGAGTATGCAGTGTGTGTGTATATATATATACACATACACTGCATATACTGCCCACCTATATATATATATATATATATATATATATATATGGGTGGGCAGTGTATGTGTGTGTGGGGGGCAGTGTGTGTGTGTATATGTGTGTATATATATATGGGTGGGCAGTGTATTCAGTGTGTGTATATATGGGTGGGCAGTGTATGTGTGTGTATATATGGGTGGGCAATGTGTGTGTGTATATATGGGTGGGCAGTGTATGTATATGGGTGGGCAGTGTATGTATATGGGTAGGCAGTATGTGTATATGGGTGGGCAGTGTATATATATATATATATATATATATGGGTGGGCAGTGTGATATATATATATATATATATATATATATATGGATGGGCAGTGTATATATATATATATATGGATGGGCAATATATATATATGGGGGCAGTGTGTGTATGGGGGCAGTGTATGTATTTGGGGGGCGGTGTGTGTATGGGGGGCAGTGTATATATGAGGGGGGCAGTGTATGTATATGGGGGGCAGTGTGTGTATGGAGGGGGGCAGTGTATATATGAGGGGGCAGTGTATGTATATGGGGGGCAGTATGTGTATGGAGGGGCAGTGTGTGTATGGAGGGGGGAAGTGTATAAATGAGGGGGCTGTGGGGATATTTATGGGATAATAATAGTAACAGTTGAGAATTGCCCACTAATTCAATTCTCAGATCCCAAAGAACGTTTATCGTGTTAAGTGGAATGTATTTCATATAATTAATATCACAATGTATAAAAATAGATTTTATTTATGATAACCAATAATTAACAAATAATATTATGTAACATGCATAACAATAATCAATGAATATCCAGTACAAAATTATACGCAATACAAAGAAATGGGTATTACGTTTCAATGGCTAAACAGCATTTCCTGTCAAGAATTATTTATGACTATCTTTAACACAGGCTGAAAGTGATACTTTTCACAGCGAAGAACAGAATTCCTCAGAGTGCAGCGTAAGGTCGTAAAGTTTAGCCGACAGTTAGAATAACCCTTTCAATGCTGGCTAGATCTCCTAGGTAGTTAAGATCTATTCTTATGTAATTTTTAAATAAAATAACATTTAAACCAGTTTAAATTCATTTTCTTAAAATCATCCAATAAGAGAATTTACCACATTATATAAGCAGATTTTTAATTTGTCTAAAAGATATCTATCTTAATTTAGAGCAAATCAATACACCTGGATAAAAACAGCGGTATGCTAACACGTGATAATATCACATCAATATATAATTATTCTTAATTCCACCTGCAGAATGGAATGTTTATAACTATATATTCTTAGTTAACTAAGATTTCTTAATATGGAAATCTGACCGTGCTTTATCCAGTCATATATAATGCTATTAATACATTTTAATTAATTTAATTTAATTAAATGAAACCAGTATAATTACCAGTTGAGTAGATATTTCATCCGATTGGTAGTCTCTCTGCATGGAGGTGTTGGTTAGAAAGTCAGTAAATTCTAAGTGTTAGAGTTTTAGGAGTAGAGTGTTAGCCTCAGATGTTGTCCGAGTTGGAGTCCCCAAACTTCCAATTCCTCTCTCCTCTCCTTTGCATCTCTTGCATCTGCCTCCTCTCTCCTCTATCTTCCCTTTGTCTTAACTTTTAAAGGGCCAGACTCTCTGTACGTCATCAGTTGATAACCCAATAGAAGCACTAGAGGTGTGGTTATCTTCCAGATCGCAAATTAGTTATTTGGTCTGTAGAGGGCAGTCTTGTCCCACTAAACATACCTATCCAGGAAAGAGTTAACTTTTCCTGGTGGCTATTTTGACGTCATTTTGGCCTATCTAGATAGTGGCTATAACTTACGTATCCTTCAAAGATCAAAGGGGTTCTTAAATTTTGTCCAGACTATGTGTCTGCAAATCTGCTATAATTTCTGATATGACAGATCATGAACTAAGTTTACCCTTTTCCATACAATGGTACCTTATATGTATAGACAGTTAAATATTAAATTATTTAATCTTCTCTGTCACAATTGTCTGGGTTTAGATTTGATTATATTCTTCTTATCACTTGTTTATACTATGCTATACATTCCTTAGCTCTGGCAAAGAGGCCAGTCTTACAGAAAGAAATCTAGTGTCTTCTTTGTTAACTTGGAATAACAAAATGGAGTCTGGTCTGTTCAGAGTGACTCAGAATATACACTTTTAGTTTCTATCATAGCACAAAATGTCTGCCGATATAAATACTCTGACATAACCCCCCTTTAGTGCATTTCATAGCCAAAATTAATTTAGCTTATGAATAAGCACTATAGAAGTTACCAGACATATTGTGCAATCACATCATTTCTAACATAGGCCCGTGCGTGGAATGAACATTTTTGTATATATTTGTACCTGTAAAAGTTTTGAACTTTACATTTAGTACAATCAACCATAATATCATTATTACATAGTACATTATTTTCATTTGAAAAATGTCTTTGGGAGTTACATATGGTATGGTCAATAAAAAGCAAATCTCCATACGTTCCGGATCAATTAAGAGAGGTATAGCGCTCCCCATCTCGAAGGCCAGATTTAATTGCATAGGCTCAATTGTCTCTCCATCCACATTGGCAAGCATCGCATGAACAATATCCTTGGATACAAAATACAGAGGTATGCGTCCCCCTGCCAATTCGATCATTCCAGTTTGCACTTCGTCGAGAAAAGCAAGTGTGTGGAACAATATTGGGTCATGCAGAAATAGAAGTTCACGCTTAAATAAGTCATGACTTTGGTGCAACTCAGTGGATTTGGCAATTAACTCCGAATGCAAATTTGTTGTAACAACTGTGTCTTCCACAATAGTTAACACGTCTTGGAGAAGTGTTCTTTGCTGTTTTATCACCTGATGAATATCGTTAATGTGTTGCTTTAGCGCATAGATTTCCATATCCAGCTTTTGGACAGTAATAGAGTTGGCTGCAGACATTCCAGTTGCGACAACTGCACCGACAGTGGCACAAACTAATGCAACAATTATAGCGGTGAGGAACCTTTTGGGTCGGTTGCTCATCGGAATAGAACTGGATACAAATGGTTTCCGGGCTTGCTCCAAGATGTGTCGCACACGGTCCTATGCTCTTTGGAGGTGCATCTGGTACCAAGTCTGTAACTCAGGAAGCTGCATCGATGAAATGTTGTATGCCTTCTCGATGGAAATCTTGGGGTCCAAGCTGACGAACACACGTCTGGTCAGGATCCTCTTCTCTGTTAAGATGAACCCTGGTGTCTCTTGAATCAGGATGCCGGAGGATGGTCCCATCTCTGCGATCGGGTCGGTCCGTAGCTCTTGGCACAGGAGCAGTATGATCCAGAAACACGCCACATCCTTCTTGGACATCCTTCGACAGTCACGGATCAGGAACTCGTTTCAGACTTATCTACAGTTGATTCAAGGTTTGTTAAGCATACAAACTTATAACAGTGTGACATCACTTGGCCTAGGACAACACATTATTACGATTCATCAACATATGTATTCTGTCTAATTCTATTTTTATAACTTCATCCCTCACTACATTTATTACTGACTCTTCAGCAATTTGCCTATAGCAGTTAAACAAGCTAGTAACCTGCTTATAAAATGTAGTTATTGGATGGCAAGGAAATGGTTAATGACATGAACGTACATGAGATCATGGCACATCACAACATTTCACATCATACTATACCACGTGAATCAAGCATTCATCCAGGTTAGTCGTTCACCCTTCTGCGTCTGAATCCACACCTATAATCCTTAATTGAGATTTAGGATGACAAGCACGCAACTGGTTAATGTGAACCCACTTTTCAATAAAATCACCATCCTTAGGAATTTTTATCTTATACGCTACAGGGGAAATTTTGTCAATGATGACATATGGCCCTTTCCAAGAAGGTAAAAATTTCTTTTCCTTGACTTGATTTCGCGCAAAGTTATACAGATAGACTTGATCTGTTATCTCATATTCCTTTTTCGTGGTTTTTAAATCGTAATAGGTCTTAACCCCTGTCGCTGCTTTTTCTAGATTCTTTTGGGCAAAAGCAAACGCATGCTGTAAATGCTTGCGCAAATCTTCGATATACTGATGCGTAGTGGCAGCATTGATCAAGTTATGATCCGAAGTACGATATAGTAAATGCTGTGGTAAAACCATCTTTCTTCCTGTCATCAATTCAAAAGGTGACAATTTGGTAGCAGTGCTAGGTGTAGCTCTAATCGCCATTAAAACTAGGGGCAATTTAATGTCCCAGTCTTTACCAGACTCCTTAACATATTTCTTTAGAATATTAACGATAGACTGGTTATATCGCTCTACCCCCCCGCTAGACGCAGCGCGGTATGCAATATGTAGCTTTCGTTTAACACCTAGAATGTTCCACATCTTAGCCATTACTTCGCTGGTAAAATGACTACCTCTGTCTGACTCAATTCTTTGAGGCAGACCGAACCTGGAAAAGACATGGTTAATCAACAAAGTGGCGCACACGGTACTCGTGTTCTCTTTACAAGGCAAACATTCTATCCACTTTGTGTACATACATGTAACGGTTAACATGTATTTGTTACCTCTTGAAGATCTTGTTACAGGACCTATAAAGTCAATTTGAATATCAGACCAGGGTAATGACACCCCCCTCTTCTGAAGTGGTGCACGATGGGTTGGACCATGGGGTTGATATTGCGGACAAATCAAGCATCCCTGACAGTATGTCTTAACATCCCTTAACATGTGTGGCCAATATGCATAATCACGCAATATCTCATATGTGATCTTATCACCACGATGCCCAGATGTAGGTGCATCATGTGCGTGTTGGAGCATTAACCCTCTGTATACAGTTGGGACTACCCATTGTTGTATACCATGTTTAGAAGTTCTGACCAGTAACCCATCCATGATACTAAATTGGACTTTATATCTCATCAAGATTCGTAAATCTTCATTATCTTTGCAATCCTCATCTGTGATGGGATTGGCAGTAGGGTCTTCTATATGTTTATAGAATATGCCTATGACGGGATCGTTCTTTTGACTAGTAATCAGGTCCTCACTAGGAGCTTCTTGACTCCATTGCACGACATTTAAGTCGGCATTATCTCTAGCCTGACGTCTAGTTATGGCGTCAACATGAATTGAACCCATAAGATCATCAATGTTTAGGGTTTCACCATTGATGGCAGCTTGTTTTGCCAGTGAATCGGCTAAGTCATTACCATCCTTGTCAATACCTTCTATTTTAGAATGGCCTTTGGTTTTCTTCCAATATATGGTTAAACCATTTTCCTTAACCAGTTCATCTATTTTACAAAACAATTTCCCATGTTTAACAGGTTTGTTATTGCTTTTCAGCATTTGGTTTCGTTTCCAGCTAGGCAGATATTCGACGAAACTGTTACGAACATAGTTGGAATCAGTTATAATAACAAATTCTTTGATACCATATTCTATTGCCATTTGAATGGTCTTATATACTGCACAGAGTTCGGCTATCTGACTGCTTTTGGGACCAATATTGTATCCTATAGATACATTAGGATAATCACCTGTCCAGGCGATTCCGATACCTGCAGCTAACTTCCGTTCAGTACCAACTACGTGGTGATATGAACAACCATCAATGTATACCCACGGTAGTGGTCGACAGTATTCCTCGTCATAAACTTTATAAGGAGATAGCAATTGCTCTTCTAGGAAGTCATCTCCGGTGTCATTATCATCCAGAGATGGAGCAGTACAGTCATGTAGTTCTGCTAAACCTTGGGCAACTGGGCTTCTCTTATTATGTTTATAACGGACTTCTAACGGCCATCCCTGTAAGGATAGAGTCCATGCAGTAATTCGACTGTTAGAGAGATTACCGTCTCTAATTCTTTCACTCTGCAGATACTGTAGAGGTTGGTGAGCTGTTTCTACAATTATTTTCTCACCTTGGATATAGCTATGAAAATTTTGTAGTGCCCAGACAGTCGACAATAACGCCTTCTCACACGTGTTGAATTTAACTTCAACAGGTGACAAAGTCTTGCTAGCATATGCAATAACTTTGTTTAAACTGTCCTGCTTCTGATACAAAACAGCACTTATGCTTAAATCGGTATATCCTGTCTCCAGATAGAAGGGTTTACCCCCTTCTGGGTATGCTAAACAGGGTGCCTGAGTGAGCTTCCTCCTCAGTTCACTTACCGCTTGGTCCTGAGGCTCCCCCCAGTTCCAGGTAGTTTCCTTTTTAAGCGGGTGTAAGAGTGGTTTAGTTATTTCTGCATAGTTATCTATAAACTTACGGGAGTAGTTAGTCATACCAAGGAACGATCTTAATTCCCTGATGTTTGAAGGTGTTTTAGCCTTTAGTACGGCTTCAACCTTCTTCCTCTGGGGTTTTAATCCTTCAGAAGTTACCTCATGTCCGAGGAAATTGACATGGGTGCGACACCATTGTGCCTTTTGTAAAGACAGTTTAATTCCTGCCTCTCTTAACTGAGTGAGAACATGTCTAATCTCTAAGATATGCTTATCAAAGGAAGTGCTTTTCAGCAAGACATCGTCGACATATGATAACGTTCCTCTCTCGAGTGCTTCAGGCATAGCTTTATGCATGAACACAGCGAATTCATGACCAGAGTTTATATAACCGAAAGGCATACGGGTCCAGGTATACTGCTGCTTTCCAAATGTGAAGGCCAATTTTTATTGGTCTTCATTATGGACTGGTACAGTCCAATATCCCTGCGCACAGTCAATGGCAGTGAATATTTTGGATCCCTGCATTTGTACCAAACATTGGTCTATGTATGGCGTTGGCCAACCAGACATATAGATGCGTTTATTTAGCTGTCGTAAATCAGCGCATAAACGCCATTGTCCATTAGGTTTCAGAATCCCCAAGATCGGATTATTATACGAACTGTGCACTGGGCGTATAATGCCCCTTTCCTTTAAATTCTGAATGATGTCTTGTAGACCATCATATGATGCTAATGGGAGTCTATATTGTTTGATAAATACAGGTGGTAAATTTGGATCAGTTTGTATTCTGGCTACGTGGAGGTTAGTTAACCCACAGTCGTAGGAATCTTTGGCAAAAATATCTTGGAATTCCAAAAGGATTTCCTTTAGCTGTTGCCGCTAAGCATCGTTGGAGCAACCGTCAGCTAAAGATATTTGCTCTTCTAGCCTTTCCTGAAATCCTGGAAAGATTTCAGGCTGGCCTATCTCATAAGCTTCTTCAAGCCTAGAAGTTAGGTCAGTTAGGTGTTGACTTACCTTTTCTCTTTGGTCGTGATACTCTTGTGATTCCTGCTCATTGAGCGGATGATCGAAGGTGATTGATGCTTCTTCGATTTTACATGAGCCTTCTTCAACGTTGAAGGGATATACAGATAGGATAGTGAATAATCCTTCTGGGGAGGAATGGAATATTTGATCGACAATTTCATCCTCAGTTAAGTATTCTTCAGGGATGAGGCCTATAATTTGGTTTTGGAAACCAAATGTATAGTACTCAGCATCCAATGCTAGACCTAATGATGTTCCTTTTGGTAAAGTAACACTATTGGGTGTAACATTGTTGACCATTATATAGGTGGAATTCTTACCAATACTTACCATTGGTGTATGTGTTACCACCATCCCTAATTGTTGTATCCTGTTGGATAAACAGATTAGGGCATCAGAGTTTTCCAATCTCTGACCCTCCTTGACCTGTAGGGGTAAAAGGAAATTACTTGTCCCCTGTGGGATGGTTATGTCATCAGGAACTTGGATACTTACCGCATATGGGAGTATTTGTCCTGATTTCAAGGCGTTTTCCTCGTGTAGGTATCCACAAGGATTACCTTTTAACCTTGTCCACAAGTTGGAATTAATAAGGTCAAGGTGTATGGCAAAGCGATGTATGACATCATTGCCAACGTAAACCTGATAGCGAGGTTCGTTTATCACTAGAAATAAATGTTTAACGGTCTTATTTCCGATGGAAATAGATAGTAAACATTTTGCTATCACATTGTGACTCTCTGATTCGCCATCCAGATTCTGGATCCACCTGTCATGTGGGGAAGCATACCTGATCATTTTAGGATTAGCGATCTGCTTTAACAGACTTCTGCTAATATAGCTGTTCTCACTCTGTAAATCCAGCTTTGCATTCCTACTTCTTCCTAAGTCATTTATTTGCATAGGAAAGAATAGGTTGTTATTAACCCTTTCAATTCTGGCAAGGAATTGAGCATGACCTGCCAGATCTACAGATTCAACATAGTCCCTGTGGAGAGAAATGGTTAAAACATCACCTTCAAGAGAGACATTCTGGATCCTCTCTGGAGCAATTCTTACGGAATGCTCATCTACAGGTGCGATTGCATCATTCACCTGCAGGATAGTCACATCAGGTGACTGACTATTTCTAAAATGTACCTCAATCGAGTCAGGTCTTTCTTCTATCACATGGCAGTTACGATCAGATTGAACATGTGATTTCTCATAGGTTATGGGAACCTTGCTTGTGACCATACAATTCCATTCACACAGTCAATAATTGTGTTAAGTCTTCTGAGTATGTCTATACCCAGAATCAGTCGGTCATAGGGGAGATCTACCACTATCACCGGGTGTCTAAAGGTTTTGTTACCTATTTTAAACTTTAACCAGGTATTGCCAATAACATGAAGGGCATTTCCTCCTACACTCGGCTTATCCGTTGCTAAGTCCATTACCTGCTGGAAGTAGGTATTGGATAAGATAGTGGCTTGTGAACCAGTATCTATTAACCCTTTGAAAGGCTGGGGTAGCAAATCCTGTATTTCTACAGACATGTAGTACCTTCCTTCATGTTCTTCTAATTCACATAAGAATTTAGAATGTGTCAACATATTACTTGTTTTCCATACATTACCTGTCACAGCAGTAGTTTCTACCTGTACTGAGGAATGCTCAGTCTTACCCACAGGCCATCCTTTTTAGGAATATCTTGAACTGTCAAGCGGGAACTAGTGGTCGGCATCTCATCAGTTAACCCTTTCAGGTCTGGATCCTGGAAACTAGTGGCTGCTGGGGCTACTTTAGCCTTTGGCTGAAATGAAAAAACAGAGGAACACGTTGCGCCTCCTTCACCCGAAAGTGAAGTGACGGGATAGGCAATAGGTTTCCTAACACAACTATTGTTTGTTTGACTGTTATTATCTGGAAAGGAAACAGGGTTAGGCATTACATCTACTGATAACCTAGCCTGTTTGGTCACAGTGGCTATTATTGCTGCGGCACCTGTGGTTGTTGCTGCGGTTGCACAGGTAGTTCTGCAATTGGAGCTATCCCTAAAAAAGGATTGAGAGCAAAGACTTGATTAATCTTTGTCATTTCCTCCATTAATTTGCCCATCTGGTCTGTCAATTGACCAACCTGACGACGCAAATTATTTCCCCCATTGCCGTTTTGTCTTTGCCCATTAGAATTTGGCTTGGATGGCTGAGACTGTTGGGAGTTATTGGAAGCAGATTGGTTGTTTCTGTTTCCATATCTCCTATTTCCCTGAGGATTCCTTCTCCATTGGGAATTGCCTTGGTTCTTATTAACCCAGGGGCGTTTATTCCCATTGGCATTGGATTTTTCAGAGTTATTAGAGGAGTTTGCAGAATTGCTTCCTGCGTTTTCCTGTTTCTGAGGTTTTGGAGATTTCAAAACCTCGGAATAGGTCCTCTTTTTCTGTTGGGTTTCTAAACCTAACTGAATTTTAGTCTCTGACACCATTTTATCACCAGGTTTTTTAACCTTTGGCTGATTTTCATCATGTGCATGGTGTATAGTATACAATTTCATGCACTGACTGACTAGCCATTCTAATGGTAACTTACAATCGTAATCTCTTGCGAGATTCATTTGTATGTTTACTGGCATGGCATGAAAATACAGATCTTTGAAGTCTGTGCTTTCATACCTGGGTTTCCTTTGGGCCACGGAGTATGCATTTTTAAGAATTATTAAAAATTCTCTGGGGCTTTGATCTGGACGGCACTTTAAGTTATAAAGCGCTTTCTTAGCAGAGGCAATGGTTTTATACTTACCATATTCCATGATTATTTCATATTTCATCTTGGACCAGGACATTAACTGTATAGCTTGAAGACTTTCTAGATAAACACGGCACATTGAATCAAGGTCCATGTAATGAACCATTTCTTATGAATGTCATCATACATGCCCAATGAATTCATTGCTCTATCATAATTTTCCAGATGTTCAGATATGTTTCCTGAACCTCTAGAAAATTGTGGGACAATCTCTCTAAGGAATTTGATGACCTTTGGTGTTTC